TTACATAGAAGATAATTTGGATTTGTTTTTCTGGGTTACACTGATATAAGAGACTGGACAAAAAGCCTCACACCCATAACAGACTCATGCTTACAATCCTAGCTACTCAGGAGACAGATCAGAGGATTTCACCTGGAAGCCAGACATGACAGAGAAGTCCAAGAGACTCCATCCAATTAATCAGCAAAAATGCCAGACTACAGGTGTGTCTCAAGTGGTAGAGCAGTAACTGTGAGCTAAAGATTGAGGGAGACTGCAAGGCCCTTGAGTTTGTACTGGCACATGTACACTTGCACACACGCGTGTGCACACACACACAAATAACAGTAACAACAGTTAGGACTTTTTTTCCTGATATTAGGGTAATATATGACTCACTACAAAAATCTATAGAAGGAGCTGAGAGTATGGTGATAGACCACTTATCTAGCATTCCCAAGGCCATAGGTTCAATTCCAGCAGTAAAGAAAAAAGAACAGAAGGAGGAAAAAGAAAAGAGGAAAAAGACAAAAATATAAATCATTTATAATGCTACCACTGAAACATTAGTTTTTATTAATTTAGTTCTCATTAATCTACTTCCTTAAAAAAATTAATGACTAAGGAGCTAGCCCAGCATATAGTGCTTGTCTAGTATACAAAATCAAGACCATGATTTAATATTTTAAGCCTTATTAAAAAAAAAACAAAGAACGGGCTGGGAAGGTGGCTCAGTGGTAGAATGCTTGCCTTGCATGCATGATGCCCTGGGTTTGATTCCTCAGCTCCACATAAACAGAAAAAAAAGCCAGAAGTGGCACTGTGACTCAAGCAGTAGAGTGCTAGCCTTGAGCTGAAGAGCTGAGGAAGAGCTCCCAGGCCGAGTTCAGGCCCCGCGACTGACAAAAAAGAAAAAGAAAAAAACCACATTTGAATCATGCTCTATGTTCTTCTCTCTTAAATATTCTATGCTGTTTTGTTTTTTGGTGCCAATCCTGGAGCTTGAACTCAAAGCCTGAGTGCTGTCCCTGAGCATTTTTGCTCAAGACTGGTACTACTCTACCACTTGAGCCACAGCTTCTGGTTTTTTGATGGAGATAAGAATCTCAAGAACTTTCCTCCTCTGCTGCATTTAAACTGGCATTCTCTGATTTCAGCCTCCTAAGTAGCTAGGAGTACAGCTATTAGTACCCAACTAATACTTCTATATATAAATCTTGCTTTTATCTGATTATGTCCTTAGGATAGTCTCCTAAAACTGGACACTAGGGTAATGGTAAGAAATCTAAATCTTTTCATAATTCATAAAGATATAACCAATTCATATCAATGGATATACTAATAGTATATTAGTGCCAATACTCAAATGAGCAAGGATAAGGTTTTTGTTAATTTGAGAGACTAGATATCCTTTTAGATTTTTATTATCAGTAAAGCTAAAATTGCCAAATCTTCACATTATTTGTCATTTATAATCCCTGTGAAAAAAATTTGTTCCTACTTTTCTGCCCTATTTCAATTTGAACTTTTAATATTTCCTACTGATTTTAGAGTAATTCTAATGCCATAAAGATGAGAAAAAAATTCTAGTCTTTATATTCTATTTCACTATCTCTACTCTTTTTTTGCACTGAATTCATAATTTTAATTATTATAACTAAATAGGAAACAATGGCCTCATTCAGTATCTTTTCGCTGGAAAAAAAATAGTTTCACCTGTTTTCTCTGAATATGAACGGAAGGCTTGAACTCAAGAGCCTTGAATTTGCTTAGCTTTCGTGCTTATGGCTGGTGTTATATAACTTGAACCATGCCTCCAACACTTTGCTGGTAAACCAGAGATAGTCTCATAGACTTTTCTGCCTGGCTGGCTTTGAGTTTTGATCTTCTAGGTCTCAAGCTCCTGAGTAGCTAGGAGGTATGAGCCAATTACATCTGGTTCCTCTTTTTAACTTCTAAGATGCTATTTACCTTCTGTTTAAAACGCACTAGTATGTTTTATGACTTAGTAAATATGTTTTATGACTTAGTAAAAATGATAAAAATTTGAAGCCTGATACAGTAGTAATCCCAGTCACTTGGGAAGCTGAGGGCAGAAAAACTGAGTTCTGTATCAGTCTGGACTACACAGCAAGATCTTATCCCAAAAATAAAATAGAAATTTAAGGCCAAGTACCAGTGGCTCACACCTGCAATCCCCACCTACTCAGAAGGCTAGTCTACAGATTTCAGTTCAAAGCTAGCCCAGGCAGACAAATCTGACAGACTCTTAACTCCAATTCTTGAAAAGCCAGAAATGGAGGTGTGGCACAAGTGGCAGAGTGCTAGCCTTGTGGGATAGAGGGTAAACTGCTATAATGACTAAGATAATGTAGCTAAGAGTTCCTATTATTTTGGTTATAAACACATAGGTAACTATTATTTACAGCTTAACAAAATGAACTCCACTTGTTATTATTATTTGTAAACCAAATAAAACCATATAAAATATCAGAAATTCATGAAATTCATTCAACCCAGTCTTAGGATAGTTTAGATAGTGCACTTGACTAGTATGCATGAGATCCTGGATTTGGTCTGCAGCATTGAAGGAAAAAATATAGAATTAATTTGACTAAACCACAATTCCATTATGCTTAAAAGTACTGATTTCACTAGAGAAAGAATATTAAACAGCTGTTTAATTTGCCAAAAATTCATATCTACCTGTCTCACTATTTGCTCTCCTTCTGGTTGAGGTAGATGGTCTAGAAATCAAATGTGAAGATGACGGCTTCTCTTCCTGCAGCTCTTGTCCAGGACCCTAAGTATTCAAAAAAATAAAATACAACAAATGAAACTTCTAACACCAGGAAGGTACGGTCTGCTTTATATAATCCTTTCAATTTTCAAGAAACATTAAAACATATTCAGATTACCTTCTGATCATTCTCACTCCCTAAATGGCATCCATTCTCATTCATAGATGTGCCAGATTCTGATGGTTCTAAGAGAAAATATAAATTTATTAATAAAGTAATTCAACAGATACTAGTACAACACACACCCACATACAATTTAAGCTTTCAACAAACAAACTTTTCCCAAAAGCTACTCACATGTTAAATACTGGAGACAAAAATAAAAGAATTTAATTTTAAAAAGAAAACACATAAAAGTAAATAAACCCTTACATGATATTTTAGCTAGGAAAATATAGCATTAATTATTTGTTAGTGATTAAAGAGAGGAAGTTTTAAGGATTAAAGACTCAGGAAAGATTTCATAATAGAGTATATGGAAGAAGGATTAGGAAAGACATTCCAGATGTTCAAAATAAATGATGTTCAAAACTAAATGTTACAACAATAAATATACATGGCATAAGTGAATGAAAGAAAAACAGTCTGATATACAACATTCCACCTGGGTAAGTTCAGATACCATACACTAGAGACAAAATAATTTTGATGAGAATGAACTTAAAGTCATTATTTAGAGAGGAATAGTATGCAGCTGGATGTTTAACATCAAAATTCCGGACTTGGGGTATTTATATACAAAGCCACAGTCAGATACTCTTCACTACTACTTTGGAAACATTAAGTCACGCCTGAGCACTAACATTTTGAAATGATACATTACCACAGTTCAACATTTCTTATATAAAAGCTAAGTATTATACTGATTCTTCTTAAATTGAACACATAGATTATTTAGAAATTTAGTTGAGAGGGGAGGCAGAAGAGGGAGAGTGAAAGAACTTGAATATAGAATAGTGGGATCCAAAACTAGCCAAATTATTCTGAAAACTAAACAGATTTCTCACAGGAGTTTTTTGTTTTGTTTTTTTTTGGGGGGGGGGTTCCAGTACTGGGACTTGAACTAAGGGTCTTACACTCTCACTTGGCTTTTCCACTTATGGCTGGTGCTCTTGAGGCACAGCTCCACTTCTGGCTTTTTGGTTGTTAATTGGAGATGAGTCTCACAGACTGGCTCTGATCCGAGGTCCACAGATCTTAGCCTCCTGAGTAGCTAGGATTACAGGCATGAGCCACTCGGCAAGAGAGGTTTCTTATAGTTTAAGAATGGGTTTTAGGAGAGCTATAATGTGTCTGAGCTGTCTCATAAATATTCAAATACACATTACAACTCTTCCCAACTCAATGTTTGTAAATAAAAGTATACCTAAAAATGAACAGCCCTACAAATCAGAACTTTAACAAGGAAAAGTGAGTTCATTCATCAGCACAATACTATAATAGTGTTCAAAATTTAACTTACCCTGCTGATTGACTACTATCAAGTTTCTGTAGATCATTGTATATATTTTCCTTGTAAAAAGAAAAAAAATCAAGAAATGTACATTTTTAAATAAAAATGTATTAAACTAGATTCAACAAGACTTCAAAATATATTCAGTATGAACGATTGCACATACAGTTTCAATCACTACATTATACCATTAATAAGCTCCTAGGTCCTAAAAAGCACCATAATTAGAGACATAATGCTCATGTACAGTTCTTTAATCAGGGCTCAAAAACTTTTTCTAATTCAAAGATTCAAGTGTCCATTTCTTGACTTGTGCTTTGTTTGAACTTTATCAAAAGACCTCTAAGAAAGAGAAGGCAGATTTCATAGCTATTCTCAATTTCTTAGCAATATGCTCAGAAACAAACTGCCTTTAAAAATAATAGGTTAGCGTGCGCGCGCGCATACACACACACACACACACACACACACACACACACACACGCACAGGTGTACAAATGCACCTATTGTACAAACTCATTTAATGGATTTACTTTCTTGATCTTATCATTTTTAAAGGCAAAGCAGGATGCATTTATTTAATACATGCAGATTGAGAAGTAACTATATACCAGTCACTGTTGTAGATACTGGGGAAAGATTGAGAAATCTCTGCCTTCATGGAGCTTATATCCAAATAAGAAGACAATCATATATTCCAGTATATTCACTCGTGGGAATTTTTGCTTTTGTTTTTCAACTAACATTCAATGTTTACCTGTCGAAAGATAACATTTCTGGGCTGGGAATAGAATGCTTGCCTAGCATGCATGATGCCCTCAGTTCAATTACCCAGTACCACATAAACAGAGTAAGCCAGAAGTGGCATTGTGGCCCAAGTGGTAGAGTGCTAGCCTTGAGCAAAACAAGCTCAAGGACAGTGTCCAGGCCCAGAGTTCAAGCCCCAGGACTGGCAAAAAAAAAAAAAGGGTAACATTTCTCTAATTCTCAGGGTTAAAGGGAAAGTACCACTCCATCTATTTCTACCTGAGGATTCTTTTTTTTTTTTCTTTACAGTGCTGGAGATAGAATCCAGGACCTCGCACATTAGATACAAGCTCTACTGCTAAGCCACACTCAGCCTCCAATACAACAATTTAAAACCACAAATCATATTCCTATTCATATTCTTTTTCAAGTTAGTAATTTCCCCAGTCTCTAATCTCTCAATTTAAGATTCAAATCAATGATAATCTTATGTGGGGGGGGGGGGGGGGGAGAGGGAGAGTGAAGGAAGAGGAGGGCGAGAGGGAAAGGGGGGGAAGGGGAAGGAGAGAGAGAGAGAATATAATTGGAGAAAGCTGACAGAAATGGGAAGAAATATTTTTACACCCCATGAAGACTTTCAATCAAGGATAACCTTAACATTATTCTTTTCCTATTAGAAACTGTACCTCCATATATTATTATAAAATCAAATACTCAGTTCAAGGCTAGCACTCTGCCACTTGAGCCACAGCACCACTTCCAGCTTTTTCTGTTTATGTGGTACTGAGGCACAGGTTTCAGGCATGCTAGGCAAGCACTCTACCACTAAGCCACATTCCCAGCCCTAGCTATTTCTTAATAAAGTTAAATTTCATATCCTAAAGCCAAGTATAAAATAACATGAATGAATATTAAACACAGAATTTAGTAATGGAATGATGCTTCTAAATGTTATATTAAAAGCAATATGAAGGCTGGGATGCAGCTCAGTGGTAAAACGAACATATGTTTAGCATTCATGAGGCCTTGAATTCAATCCCTAGCATCAAAATATAAGTAAAATTTGATATAAATAAAAACACCTTTTATAAGCTACACTACATTTTTTCTGCTTGTGTTGAGGTTTGTCTTTTTCTAGTGCTCAATAATGTATTCGGCTTATAAGTTGAAAGTGTAAACATCTCACTTACCACATAGTGTGTGTGGGTACATTACTTTTTTCCTGTGTGATGCTAGAAACCAAACCCAGAGCCTTGTGTATGCTAGGCTAGTGTTCTACAACTGAGCTATGCTTCCAGTCCTAGTATTATTAGGCAAAAAATATCAGTGGAATCTGACTGTTTAAGAGGAAAGTATACATCTCATATATTAAGGTATAAACATTAAGGATCAACACAGAATTGAGTGTGCTACACTAAGTAGAATGAGGAATCCTAAATATAAGGTTAAATAAAAACTAAAGTCTTCAGTTATCAAAATAATCCTAAAATTTAAGTTTTCTGGGTTAAATTCAGATGATTAGCTACCATAATAGGGGAAAAAATGATTTCCAAAGTAATTGAGGCTCAAATTCAAGCCTTTACTACATGATTGTAAAAGCCTAACTTTGGAAGTCAACAATTTATAATATATAATGACTAGTGCTAACATGTGTAAGGTTTCCATGTGCCAAACATGTTTTTTACACAATGTTTCTTTGTGAGATACTTGTAACTTCTACACAAAGTATTTATATTATTATGCTATTTTACAAAGAGGGTAACCGGTCAATATACCTATACACAGAACTAGTAAATGTCTGGGCTAGATGTCAAAAACATTTTTGTAAGGTTCTAAATGGGCTGGAATTGTAGCTCAATAGTTTAGTGCTTTCCCAGCATGTGCAAGGCCCTGGGCTAGATCTCTGCACCATAAAAACAAAAGAAAACAAAAACAAAGGATCAAGCCCAGTTGTAGTGGTACAAGCCTGTAATCCTATCACTTGAGAGGCAGGATTATCTAGAGTTTGAGGGCAGCAAAGGCTACAAAGTGACTTCAAAACTCTGTCTCAAAAGAAAAACAAAGCCGGGGCTGGTGGCTCACACCTATAATCCTAGCTACTTAGGAGGCTGAGATTTGAGGATTTTGATTCAAAGCCAGCCCTGGCAAGAAACTCGGTGAGATTTTTATCTCCAATAAACCACTAGAAAAACTGGAAGTGGTGCTGAGGCTCAAGCAGTAGAGCACTCGCCTTGAGCTGAAGAGCACAAGGACAGCGCCTAAGCCCAGAGTTCAAGCCCCACAACTGACAAAAAAAAAAAAATTCAGGGCTAGGAAGGTGGCTCAGTGATAGAGCGCTTGCCTTGCACGCCTGGGTTCGATTCCTCAGCACCACATAAGTAAAAAGAAAAAAGCCAGAAGTGGCACTGTTGCTCGGGTGGTAGAGCGCTAGCCTTGAGCTGAAGAGCTGAGGGATAGTGCCCAGGCCCAGAGTTCAGGCCCTGGGTTCGATTCCTCAGCACCACATAAGCAAAAAGAAAAAAAAAGCTGGAAGTGGCGCTGTAGCTCAGGTGGTAGAGCGCTAGCCTTGAGCTGAAGAGCTGAGGGATAGTGCCCAGGCCCAGAGTTCAGGCCCCAAGACTGGACCCAAAAATAAAATAAAATATAATAAAATTCAGAGATCAGGTTCCCAAATAGTAAGTATAAAGCAAAGAAACCCAATTTCAGAGCTAGGGGTGTAGCATAGTAGTAGAGTGACTGTTTAGAATGCAGTAAGTCCTAGTTAGATACTCAGGGCTACCAAAAAAGGAACTAAACTTTAGCTTTTTGTATATATTTGTGTGTGTGTGTGTGTGTGTGTGTGTGTGTGTATATATTTATATCTGATAAAAAGAAGGGCAGAGGTGAGCAGCTATACTTGATCACCAGGCTTATTACAATGCACTAAGTAGAAGAATTTACCTGTGCTCTTTCACAGAGAAGCTTGGCACTCCAAATAAATCTCCCAGTAGATCATTTGAGCAATATACAATATGTTGTTGTTTCTCATCATACAATCTTTTAGTCATAATATATTGGCCAAGATAAAAAATGATCTACAATAGAAATAAGATTTGAACATTAAATAAACCAAATGTTGTTTACAAATACATTCAGTACTCTATTTATATGAAAAACATTAAACAGCAACCACAGCCACAACCATGTCAGACGGCAACCTTTCTTTTTCTCATCGATGGAAGTAGAAAGATTAGGCATTACAAGTAACCCAATGTGATTTAAGTATATGGGAACAAAGGTTATATTTAAAAACTAAACCTAAAATTTTTTTGAGGGGGGCTTGTTCTCATGGGGCTTGTTCTTATGGCTCACACATTCATTGAGATGGGTGCACTACTAGCCTCCATTCAAATTGTTTTGTTTTTTTGTTTTTGCTGGTCAGATTGACTTTTCTGCATATGCTGGCTTCCAATGGCAATCCTCAGATCTCAGTTTCCTGAATATCTAGGATTACAAGTGTAATAATTCAATGGTGCATAGCTTAAGAGGTTTCAACTTTGGAAACAAGGGTCCTGGCACCAACCAATACCCTAAACAGCACGAGGACTGTAAACTGTTTCTGCTACATAGTTAGCATAAGCATTCTAAGTTATTATGATGCCCCTGATCTATTTTCTTGTTTCTGTCTACTGCTTAAATTGTATTTTTTGTTTCCTTAGCTGATTATATAAATAAGATCAATTTTAAGTACTAAAAACATCATTTAATAACTTGGTATTCCCCCAAAGCAGAAGCCAATTTCTTTTTTTTTTGTTTGGGGGGGGTGGAGGGGAGGAAGTATAGGGTTTAAACTCAGGGCCTCATGATTGCTAGCCAGGTGCTCTGCCACCAAGCCATGACTCTATCATGGCTCCAGATTGAAGGAGCCAACTTAAAGAAATATTCCTATTAAATTGTGGGTTCAAGAGATTGTTGACAGTTAAAAAGGAAGAAGGAAGAGAATGTACATTTTTTCCTACCAAACATTCCTTGAGGAAGGTTACAAAAGTATAGCTAAAAATGGAAAAGGTTCTGAAATCTCTTCCTGCCCCACTATTTTGTCATAAGGATCTTTAGTGTATTCAGAAAACGAGCCCCAAAGTCTAAAAGTGGTAGAAATGAGGAGCAAGCACATTTCATTCACATTGAAATTTTGCTAAAATGCCTGATCATTCACTGAAAATCATGTTTTCAAATGAACAAATTTCAATTTATAGAACAATGCACTGTATCCATTAAACAGAAGATATGTTCATATTCAGCTCACCTCCATCCCAGAATTTCAGTACAGTATATTGTACTCATGTATTTCTAGTGCAGAAGTTCTTAACCTGGGATCCAGGAAGGCCAAAGAAGTCCTTAGATAAAATTCAGGGGTCCATTAATTTGGGTGGGGAAAAAAACTGTATATTTTCTATATTTGAACTGAAATTTAGGTTTTTCCTTTAATTATAGATATAAGTAACAAATCACAACACTATAAACAGTACTTGTGATTGTTACCAATGAAAATCAAAATGTTTTCATATCACACTATGCTTGTGGAAAACATCAAAATTTTTATTTGTATCTCTAACATCAAAATCACACTCTTTAGATCTACTGCTAAATTTCAGTAAAGTGTTAAAAAGCACATTATCCAAACTTCTTACTATACTGATAACTATATTTGAGTGTTGTTACCTTTGTAATCATATATATTCACTTTATGGATGTACAAACATGATTCTGAGGAGTTACCAATCTGGGATGAATTCACAGTACATCAAGGCCAAGTAGACCTTATTAGTCTTGTAGAGCAAGGCCCCTGTAAAGATTCCTCTACTTGGGGATGGGAGGTGCGGGGGGGGGGGGGGGGGGGGGGGGGGAGAATAGGAAGGGATGGGAAGGGGAAACAAAGGAGGAGGCAACAATGCTTGATAAGAAATGTACTCATTATCTTGCCAATGTAATTGTAACCCCTCTGTATGGTATTTTCACAAGTTAAAAAAAAAAAGATTCCTCTACTCTCCA